GTTGGGAGTTAGTCAGGGCATGAGGCTGTTACCTTACACACAGCTGAGAAAGCTGCTAGCTGTGTAGATTTATTTTGGGATTCACAGAGGGCATTTGTGAGGGCAGCCTTCCATTGGCAGTGCACGGTGTCTTCAGGTGGCTCTTTTGATCTTAACATTTAGAGTCTGCTCAGGGAAGAAAAAAATCCTTCAATTAAAGTAGAGAAAAAACAGAGAAGGGCATTAGGCAGGATGAAGCCTGCTTGCTTTGTCAGATGCCTTTAGTACTGTAGGAATAAATGCTGTAGGACTTCTGAGACATACATTACCTAAATAGCATGATTGCTGGGGTGATAACCACAAAACAAACAGTTCTGTAGATTCTGGACCTGCATCTCTTCTCATATGCAGAAATACAAAGCAATAATTTCTAAGGTACTTTAAACTGGAGAAACTTGATTATTAGAAAAGCTGAGGATCGGCTTAGTGGAGTTATTCCACTGCAAGAGGGCAGCCTGGTCTGTCTTTTTTACAATCCTTAGCAAATTTGAACAGTAACAGATTTTCCCCATTCTAGCTTCTCGCTGGAATATGGTCACTATCCAGTTTGCCAGAACCCTGCATGTAGAGTCCAGGACCCTGCTGAAGAGTAGGAACCATACTTCAGGAGAAACAAAGCTGCCTCTTGTATATCATGTCTTTGAGGAAAATGTTTAAAGCCTTGCCCCACAAAAGTCCATGTTAAATAAACCTAGTTAAACAGAGTTGTGGGTGGTATTGTCTGTACTCCTGCCCATCTCTGTGGCACCACCCAGGAGATGGGTGAAGGGGGCTTTGCATCCAGGAGAGCAGGGCCAGCCAAGGCAGCTTCAACCTCTGGTTAATGTGTTGATGAATGCAGTTCATTTTGTGGACCACACAAGCTTCACAGGTTTGCTTCACTAAAATTGCAGCAGTTTTGCCCGGTCATGCCCTACTCGTGTCTCATCCTCATCTCCACTCCCTCCTCCCAGCTAATCCAAGCACAGGGTGAGTTTAGTCCAATAAATTGCTAAAGGCTTGCTGTGTGCCTCCCTTACTGACAGTGACAAAAAGTGTTTTCTGCCAGTTTGGAGTGAGGAACTTTATTTGAATAATAAAAAGTATATATGTATTTTTTTAATGCCTGAAACTACTTTCTTTTTGTATGTTGTTCATCACATTATTTCTTCCTTGGAATTTCAGTGGTTCTTCTGTCATCTTACCTGCTGCAAAGGAGCTAGAGTTCACAGGGCTGGCAGAGGGTGACCTGAGATCATCATCCATGTCTGATTGAAAGATTCACCAAATAGCACAATTAGACCATGGACCAGAATAAAAAGAAATTAAATCTAACAGAAGTGAGATAGCCTTCAAGGGTTTTACTTTCTGCCCCCCCTTCTTTTAAATGAGAAAAACCTACCATGTATGTATTTTATACCACTGTTCACAGTTAATGCTGTGCTATAAAGTAGCCATGATGGATTTCTAGTCAAAATACAGTCTCTGTTGCCTGATTGAACATCCAAAATGCCAGAAATGAGAATGTTCACACAAAACACCAGAAAGTTACACACACACAAGGCTGGATAGCACCTTACCAGATTGTCACATGATAAATGAATACTTAAGAGTGTGGATGTGCACCATTGCTGGGATTGGCAAGGCAAGCTGTAGCAAAACATGGGATTCAAACCTCTTGGAAGTGCTACATGGCTGGGGTTTTTGGAGATTTGTTGTCTCATTGAAAGGGTCTTTTTAAAGTCAGAAGAGCTTGGTGCAGGCTGAGTTGAAAACAGGATTCATGCAGGTGAATTAGAGTCTGTGCAAAGATGTCTCACTTCCAAAAGGAGGGATTAACTGTACGATTGTAGTTGGTTTTAGCAGCCCTGAACACACCCTACCCATTGACTGCCAGCTGGGTTGCACAGCATAGCAGGGTGAGCCAGTGTTTACTATGCTGAAGTTACCTACCTTGGGAAAACAACCAGTGTTACTCTCACTCAGGTGGTGTGCCCAGCACGTGGCTGAGATGTGGGCACAGGGTAGGTGCAGGATCCTAATGGGATCCTTTATTCCCTTGCTTGATTACTTTGAGCAGGAACAAAGGAATCAGTTGTGCAGACAGTTAAATTCTTATTAGTAGTCTTCAGAATAAACAAATCAAATGTTTGCAGGCAGCACAGGACTGAGCTGCTGGCACTATGTACTGTGCATATGCAGAGACTTGGGTGGTCAAATCTGCATAGCTCCACTGGCAGGAGAAACAGCAAGACAGAAGATACATGAAGATACAGATACAGAAGATCTATGCATGCTCCTGTTTGTCCAGGAGCATTTGGAATAGTGCATTTTATATTAGGTGAAGAACTGGTACTAAAAGAGCGTGACTTTCGGTTTTTTTAACTCCCCTAGCTGTGTTACTTAAGAGGAGCTGTAAATGCTAACATGATCTTGCTGATAATGTGTTCTTAACTCCATCCTCAGTTACAGGAGAACATGAAGAATATAGCTGAAAAAAAATCTGAGTATTAATTATAATAATTCTTATTGTAAGAAAGGTTTCTTTTAAGGTGAGAACAGTCAATCACTGAAACAACCTTGCCAGGGATGTAGTAGAGTCCCCATCATCGGAGGTTTGCAAGATGCAATTGAACAGGGTGCTAAATAGTTTCATCAAGGCTCCCTTTCCCATGAAAGACTGGACCAGATGATCTTTTGAGGTCCTTCCAGCCTGGTCTGTTTTATGGTTAATGCTTTTGTATTTGCTTAGCACTGCTCAGCTTAGGGTGTCAGCTCATTTGTCTCAGAAGATCCTGAAGGCAGTCATGCCTTATCTCCATGTTGTAGATCTTTGTTCAAAATCAGAAGGGGATTCAGTGGAGGACAAAGCATTTAACTCAGGCCATGAGTATCAAAGCCTGTTTTGATAGGAATAGAACCTGCTATTGGGTAGAGCCTGATCAGGTGAGCTGCTTGAAGATCCTTGCAAATAAATTATTGCAGTCTCCATCACTGGTGGTTTGAACTGACCTCACTTCTTATATGGCTGTCCTGAGGTTGGACTAGATCTTCTGCATACACAAACCCCTGCTTAAATCAGGTAAATCAAAACAACAGTGGTAGGGAGTAGAGAAAGAACAAAGTGTCAATCTAAAAAAAATGGCATTTTCCCTGTACAACTAGCAAATATATTTTTAAGCAACTTGAATGTTTAGTTCAAAGCTTACTGTGTTGTCTTTTATATCCACAGGTATATATTGAAAACAATAATTCTGGGCCAGATGCTCTCCTTATTTATCTGTGGGACTGCTGTTACAAGCCAGTACCTAGCAGAAAAATACCAAGTGAACACTCCAATGTTTCAAAGTTTCATCAACTATTCTTTGCTTCTTCTAGTATATACAACAATGCTGGCATTTAGGACTGGTATGTGAAATACGGGATGGGAGATTCTCGTTCTTTTTTTTTTTTATTATTTTTCCTTCTCTTCTACATTTTCCTTTCAGAATTTGAAACTAAAAAACTCAATACTCATCCTGCTTTTTAAAGTTCCTGCATTGTAGTAACACATGGGAGTGAATTTCTGTTTAAAATTTTGTGTTCTTTGGTTTGAAGTCCTGTGTTATATTAGGGAAAACAGGCTTTGTTGTAACAAACTTTGTTACCAGAAGCTTTAATTTATTTCTCTTATTCTTACTATTTACTCTTTAAACAACTCTAGTCTTGTTGATTTCTTCCTCATGTTGAAGAATATTTGTGCTTTTTACCATTTGCATTGTCTCCTCCCAGGCTGTGTTTTGCTGTTGTTCTGTCTTTCTTAAGCAGGGGCAGGCAAAGTCAAACATCTCAGTATTATTGATGCTTCTAAAAGGCAAAATTCCTATGCAACATTTAGTTGGAAAGAAACACATACTGATTGCTGCTTTCTTCTAAACAGGCAGTGACAGTCTTTGGCAAATTTTGAAACAGAGGTGGTGGAAGTATATGTTTTTGGGACTGGCTGATGTTGAAGCCAATTACATGATTGTAAAAGCCTACCAATATACGACCCTCACAAGTGTGCAGGTAAGGACTGATCTCTCTTTGTGAACTGTTGCTTTTATTACAGTTTTAGAGTGGTTTCCGAAATGAGATTCATAGAACAGACATGGAAGCTATTTAAGCCTGAAAAGAACTTTCCAATATTTATTTTCTCTCTGCAGTACAGAGAAGAGCATCCTGTATCATGAATAACCTTTCCAGGAAGCAGAGAAAATTGGCTGGTATTATCCTGTGCCAGCTCTTGAGTTGAACTCTAATTATTTTGATAAAAGCACTTCTAAGAGTTTGCTGACAACTGCTCAGTTTTTTTCTCCTGACACAAGATAAAGATTTATGACCAGATAGCAGCCTCTCAGTGCAGGTTCTTGCTGATGAGAGCAAGGTGGATCTCTTGCCTAGTCCTAGAAACTGCTGGAGGTGTTGTGAGATGTAACCCTACATGTGAGGACGCACTGATAGTTAGCTGGTGTTGCTGACCATGCAGTGAGGAATGAGCCCTGTGGCTTTTGGATGTGGTACTTCAGGGCCCTTTCTGGAAGAGGCAGAAGGGAGGTCAGCATGCCAGGGTTCTGAAGTAATAGTAGACATCCTCTGCAACACCAGCACTTTGTGCTGCATCGCTCCAGTAGGATAAATGTTGTGTTCTGAAATAGCTCTGCAAGCAGAAGGGCTAAAACTGGGGTTTCTCTGTGACACTACACAGACAAAAGTTGCTGGAAGAGTCACTGTTTTCCTTCTGCCTCCAAATTGCATGCTTCTGAGCTTGCATGGCCAGATCCTCAAGGAAGCTGGCTCAGGGCACTGAGCAAAGTCAGAGTAAGCCCTCTTTGGCTGGACTATTGGCTAGCCACGTCAGGCCCAAGTTAGCTCCCTGTGTGGCTTCACAGCTGCTGTAGAAACAAGTGAGGGGATGGTGCACAAGCAAGAAGGAAGTGTGTCCAGGTCATGCCAGTTCGTACCTGCTGGTACTGGTGGTGGGGATCTGTGGCTGGGGTCATGGCCTCACCTACCTGAATAAAAAAAAAATGAAATATGCAGACTTGGCTGTTAGTTGGAAAAGAGTGTTTGGATGTCAGTGTTTTACAGAGTCAAAGTAACAGGGGTTAATAGTTAAAAGAACTACCTGTAAAGCAATAAACCCCTGTGATCTGGGCTCTCTTTACAGAACTGCAGTAACTTTTCTTTGCACTGCTAAAGACCAGAGCGACATGTTTCTGTCTCAAGATCACGTTAAGCTGATAATCAAAACAGTGTTCAATAATATGCAGCTGAACAAGCCAGGACTTTGATCCAAGTTCCCAGAAGTCTTAAAGCTATTCTCATGATTTCTGTCATGGAAATTAAGAAAGAATAGATCTAATAGGTTGTCTTGTCTGGTTGCCAGACTCAAGCATTTTCTGAGCCTTTTTCCCTTGTAACCATCAGACTGATGCTGCTGTGCATTGGTTCACTAGTTGCAATTTTGTTATACTTGCCTGTTGCTGTAAGGTTTCTTGCATATTCTCTAGTGTCACCAGTTTCTCACCAGTGTCAGAAGGGAAAAAAAAAGCCTGTGATTTGCTCTAGTGGAAAGGCATTTGCCTTCTGTCATTAGCAAGCAGTTCTCCAGCTACATCAGAACCTGTGGTTCAGAGCACCCAGCCTGATGGGCCTACCTGCAGTACTATCTGTGAGTGGGTGCCCTGGGAGTGTAAAAGCAACACTGGGCTGTATGGCACCTTCTCAAATACTAGGTAATCACTGTTAAAATACTGGCTGGCTGGAGCTTCAGCTCAGCTCTGTGAAATGTAGGTTCAAAGATAAGTTTTCTCAGCTCAGCAAGGAACTTCCATGTATTTTCTCACACATGCACACAAAAACAGAACAGATTTCCCTTTAGTTATCAAGTACCAGTGTTGCACAGAAGGGGTTAGGCGATTTTAAAAGGCGATAACAGTGGGACGGTAGCTCTCATTTCTCTGTAAATAAAGAAAAATACTTCGGTCCACAGCTGAACTATTTCTATTTGGCTGTGGCTGAGGCAGTGCCAGGGAGGCTTCTTGCTGCTGGTGTTCTTCTGTTTTGTGTCAGGATTTGACTGTGCTGCTGTTTGACCACTTACTTCATAGCAGAAACCAAGCAGCATAGCTGTGGTTTCATGTTGTTAACAGTTTTTTTGGCACATTTAGCATTTGTTCTGTAGATGCTTTGAGTGGAGGAATTTTTCAGGCAGCTATTGACAGAATATCTGCTGATGGAAGAGTGTTAATCTCAACAGGAGAAAATGCAGGATGAGCCTCTGGGGCTCAGCTGGAGGCTAACCCAGAGGGAACCTTGCAGGGAAGTGAGCAGGCTGAACAGTTGAGCTTTCTTGCTTGCAAAGCTATCTAGAGCTGGCAATTATAAGCAACCCAATGACCTCCAACAATCTATGATAATTTATTAACCATGAATTAAAACATCTTTTAATTATTTACTTGCCCTACTTTTAAAAGCTCCTGTAAACAGTGTGGCTATAGCCTGGCTTGAGTCAAAACATTTGTAAAATCAAATCACCAGCATATCTGTTTTTTCCCGATGTAAAAATATGGGCTTGAATTGAATGAGATGAGTCTGATGAAACTCTACTGCAATAGCAGTTAGTACTGCAGTACTGCTGTAGATGTCATAAAACCTGGATAAATAAACTTTATTCTATTAATTGATTCCATTGGCACAATTCATTGTGGTATTACATCTGCTTTGCACCTCTTTGATCTTGATCCTGTACAGAAGAGTTCTGTAATGTACTAGATGAAGGGAAGGCAAGATCTAGTAGTTGGAAATCTGATTTCATCTGTCTGTAATTGAGGGTAATTGTCTCCTGGAACAGATTACCAGGGTATGCTCTTCATTGTTTGGTGCCTGTGTGTCCTGGCTGCAAGTCCTCTAACCAGGATGCTGTAGCTCTACAATATGTTCTTGGTCTGGATGCTGCAATTCCCCGTCTGACGTTACTGAGGGAGCTTCTGGTTCATTATGTACAACTCCCTTGCATACTAATTAAGATTTTTTTAAAAGATTTTTTTCTTCTGCTCTAACCATTTGGGTTGCAAAACTCTTCGGAGGTTAGAAGGCTACTTGGTAACATCTCAGTTAATGGGGAAGTGAGAGCTTACTTGTTAGGAGGTGTCTACTAACAGAGGGGTATAAATTTTGCTTTCTAATGTTTGTAGTATTTCTTGTTGTTTGATACTAGTCAAAACAGTCAAATTTGAAGGAAATATTAGAAGTTTTTTTCTTGAGTCTAGATTAAAGGTAAGATAGAGAACAAGGCCTGTGACAAGATATAAAGTCACAGGATGATATTTTTCCATAGTGTAAAGTTATATTGAAATACTTGGTATTGCATATTGGGACTTGGCAGGTTGTAACATCTCATGACACAGCCTAGGCAAGTACTTTCACACTTCCCAAACAGACTAAACAAACTGGACAAGCTGGAGGCAATCCAAGGAGCAAAGACAAATAGATGGATTAGCGCACCGTTAGGATTTAATTTGTAATAGCTTCCCTTAACACTATGCTTGTAAGACTTTAATATGTGTAGTTATGAACAAGTAAAACCAGACATATCATCAAAACGTTAACGAGTTTGGTTACAGCCCTGGGGTGAACTGATGGAAGCCAGTACAGAAGTCGACTGCAGTGGTGCACTTAGGCAGGCAGAGGCTGACAATGAACATTAAGGACTGATGGCTCTTGATTGCAGTGATTATGCTCTAGTCCTGTTGACCTGGACCTAGTACTTTGTGGGGACTTCAAGAGGCCCAGTTTTAAGGGCTGACATTTGAGAGCAGTTTGTGAGCAATCTTTGGGAAGCTGGCTATATGTTCTGCTGTAGGTTGTTCCCTTATGTAGTTTTGTGACGCTCGGCCGAGGCAGGTCAGAAAATACACTTTGTCTTTCCTCCAGACATATTCAGAAACAGTCTATTTCTTTGAATTAAATATTAAACCAATTGTGATTAGCTCAATAGTCTTGGTATTCTTTAGTTATTCTAGAACATTAGGCCCATCTTATGCTGCCGTGTATTTTCCTGTATTAAGCTAACTCTTGATGCTTTCTGTCCTAAAGAAGAATGGTTAGAATATCCTTGAAAGTGTTCAAGGCCAGACAGGACAGAGTTCTGAGCAGCCTGGTCAAGCAGAAGGTGTCCCTGCCCATGGCAGGAGGGGTGGAACTCGATGCTCATTAAGGTTGCTTCCAGTCCAAATTGTTCTGTGTTTCTGTGGGTGGGTCTAAGAGTAAGGCAGAGATATATAGGAACATGTAGAGAGGGGATAAGAAAGAAAGGCAGAGAAGTCAATGCCACTGCTTGTCATGGAATGCAGACATCCTTGAACCACAGCTGTTCAGTCTGCTTGGGGCAGTGTCTGCAAACACATCTGAAGTGCTCTCAAATTCTAGCCGCTGTGTGTGTCTGTGCTGCTGGGGCATGGAGGAATTAGAATGGGTTGCCTGCTTCTGATCACTTGAGAGTCAGCTGTAGCAGAGTGATGAAAATGCACTGGGGGCTTGTGTGTGTTTTTGTGGGAAGCTGGAAGATGGGGAAGGTAACTTTTGGAAAGCTGTTCTTCCCACCCTGTCTTATTTCTACCAATTTTGCACATAGCTTCCAGCATGTGTACCCATTTTGGTATTTAGTTGAGGGGGACAAAAAACTCAAAGCTGCATGGTCAGATCCTCATCCTGGTCACTTCTGTGTAAAATCAGATTGCTTGTATCCATCAATAGTTCCAGATTTTTATTTTATGTACATGGAGCCCTGGGGAATAACATAGTTTCAGAGCAACATCCTCATTTGTGAAGCTGCAAAGATTGATTAGATCCATCATTAGAAGAGTTTCTAAGTCAGTGCTTTCCTACCAGGAGGGAGGGTACCCCTGCTCCAGCTCCTCCTTCACTTTCAAAATGCTTTTAATGGTAAAATATGGGTCTCACCCCTCTGTCAAACAAGTCCACAGGGGTTGCTTTGCAGGTTTCCTTAATATCTGATAGCAATGGAAAGTAAGATTCTGTATGTTTGCATTCAGGATACTGCAGTCCAGACTTGGGGTGGGTCTCTAACTCAAACCATTTTTCTGTGCACACAGCTGCTGGACTGTTTTGGGATTCCTGTGCTGATGGCTTTGTCATGGTTCATTCTCCGAGCAAGATACAGGCTGATTCACTTTCTTGCTGTTGCCATCTGTTTGCTGGGTGTAGGAACAATGGTGGGTGCAGACATTTTGGCAGGGAGGCAGGACAGTGAAGAGAAGAGCGGAGAGATGGTTCCTGTGGTGGGCTAACTTGTACAGCAGAAAGAGGAGGAAATGCAGAGGGAGCAGATATAGTTCTATTTTAAAAGAGGAGAACATATGCTGCTATTTGTACTTCTTGTCTAAGAAGAGGTGATGCTGATTTTATGGGGAGCTCTGGAATTTCTTTGCTTGTAGGTTTGGACTATTTCTTCCACAAGAGCGGAGAGATGGTTCCTGTGGTGGGCTAACTTGTACAGCAGAAAGAGGAGGAAATGCAGAGGGAGCAGATATAGTTCTATTTTAAAAGAGGAGAACATATGCTGCTATTTGTACTTCTTGTCTAAGAAGAGGTGATGCTGATTTTATGGGGAGCTCTGGAATTTCTTTGCTTGTAGGTTTGGACTATTTCTTCCACCTTAAAAAAGAAACACTAGTGTTAAGCTTAAATTTTGCTGCTGTTCGTTAGACATGACGGAAAGTCTCATTCTTGAAAGCTTGTTAACTTTGACTATCATGTGAGATGGTTTAATAGAAGAAGCTGCCTCTCCCTGCAAACCTTGTCTCGCTTACACAAGCCTGCTGGCAGCCAAACGTCCTTGATTTGAGTGTTTTTTTGAGTACAAATACCAAATAAAAAGTTACTCACAGCAGCTAACTTCTTTGAGTTGTCTCTGGCAGACCCAGCAGAAATGGTCCATGTATCCCCAGGGCCCATAGGTTGCAGCCTGGAAAGCAGGGGCTGGCTACAGGAGAGCAAGAGGAGACAGGGCAGGGATGCTGGGAATCCTGGGGCCTCTGGGAGGGAGGCTGGGCTCTGGGAACCAGGATCAGTCTGGATGTAGGTAAGGGCAGGTCTTGTCTTCTGTATGAGAGATGTCTAAATCAACTGGTGTTAGAGTGATCTTATTTTGAATAAGAATTTGGAGTTTTCAGAGCCAGAGGGTATGAGACAAGGTAAATTTCAGGGCATTGCCTTCATCAGGCAGCAAAGAGATAAACCTGTGTGATGTTATTTTGGGGCCTTACTGTAAGTGAGGTACAAGACAAACTGAGGTTTAGCTTTACTGCTGTGTGGTACAAGTATCTTGGTCCTGAGGGTGAAAAATCTTTCCATGAGACTTTTCAGACAGTTTTGCATTATTTGCTGGCCTGGGGATCCTTACTACTGCTTACCCTCATGTTTTAGACATATTTTTTTTAGTGATTGCCAACTGGCTCAGTGAAGGAAATTTTAAATCAGTTCAAGGATTTAAAATAAATTCAAGGATTTCAAGTGATCCTCTTGCTATTTAGCTGGTGCATAGCAGCATTCACTTTATGAATGTTAGTACAGGGAGTCCCATTTGCACAGTATAAATACATTGCAGCAGGACACATGATACCACCCATCTGCAGTGCCCACGTAGGACCTGTCATAAACCTGAAGCTGAGTCCAGGTCCTGCCAAAATCGATAGACTGATTTTAGCAAGACTTGAATCAGGCCTTCCTGCAAAAGTGGGCACAGTATTCATGAAGGGCAGAGAGCATCTCCAACTGGGAAGTTTCTCAACGACCTGCAGTGTCCAAGGTCAGCAGAAGTAGAATTGGACCAAGTGATACAGCAGTGTCTTGGTGAGGATGAGGTGTAAATGCTGGGTTTAGCTCATTCCAGACTGTGCAGGGTGAGGTGAGCAGGCATCAGAGTCCATACTCAGACACTCCTTGGCGCACACAGGAGGTGTTTCCCTTCCCCTTCCCCTGGAATGCGCTAGGAAGATAGAGATGTTAGAAATAAATTTGTTTGTCTTTTTAAGGAAAGTTCAAAAGTGTTTGCAGCATTACCCTTATTGTGGATTAATATTTCTGTACAGGTAGTGACGTGGTGATTGGAGATGTCTTAGTGCTTCTTGGTGCTTCTTTGTATGCCATTTCTAATGTGAGTGAGGAATACATTGTGAAAAATCTGAGCAGAGTGGAGTTTCTAGGAATGGTGGGCTTGTTTGGGACTATTATCAGCGGTCTACAGCTGTAAGGATCTAATATTTATTTTAAAACTAATTAAGAATATTCTACAGATGATTGCTTGTCTACCATGAAATGATGTTATTAAATTAATTGTTTGTTACGTCTGCATTTGGCCAATATGGGAGTCCTTCCACTTGAGTTGATTTTTGTTGCTGATCAGCATCCTTTTTATGTCCTTTGTATTTGTACTACTCTTATTGCAGCAATTCTAAAGCTGAACTCCTGCAATTTGAACACATATGATACTTGGCTGTGTTTTTGATTTTGTTGATGCTCATGAGGACTCTCGTTGTGCTGAGGACTGTTCACAGGAGTGTATATCTTAATGGATTTTCTCTGTGGAAAAGTTTAGGAGACAATTGTTAGCAGGAGATCTTCCATATTAAACTCAAGTTTAAAATGAAGACATGTATACTCTTACAAATAACCACGTTAGAGTAACAGACTACATGCACTTAAGTCTATCTAATGAATTTTATGTTCCTCATTTCTCATCATTATAGTTAATAATTTCCTCAAATGGTATATCAAATAAAACTGAATCTCTGAAGGATTAAAAAGCCTGGGAAGAAGGCATAAGAATTAAATAACAGTGCTCTTGACTTTCAAGCACTTTAATTTTCAAGTCTTTTTTATGCTTGTTAGATGTTGGAGTTAGTGTCATTCAATAAAATTGCAAACAAAAAATTAAGGGATTATAAATCAAACTGTTTCTTATATATTTTGGTAATTAAGTTCTCTATTTGATTGTGATTTTTTCCTTTTTTATTCTATTATATCTTTTCTTTAACTTTAGAGCCATTGTGGAACATAGGGAGATAATGAGAATTCAGTGGAACTGGAAAGTTGGTATGTGTATGACAAAACAATGTGCGTGTTACAGAACACTGGAAAATTGTAATCATGTAGACGTCTAATGCTGAGGTTTTAGTTTTCTTTCTCTGAATATTAAGCAGCATTAATATTGTCACAAATTTATTTTCTGCAAACTTTGCAGCTCAGAAAAGAGATAAGCTTTGCAGGATTGAACATTGAAACAGTTTTTGCGTTTCACATATGACGTTAAATAAGTTTTCAAAATAAATTGAAATAAGTAAAACTTAAAACTGTTTAATTACTGAGATATTGGGTGCTGGAACATCACAGAATATTTTTATGTTGTCCTGCTTAAATGAAATACTGGAAAAATTGATTTTGTGACACATTTTGACCTTAACAGAACTAAACATTATCGAGAAATGTGGCTCTAAATTTCT